TCACCTCAGCCTCCCAAAGGCGCAGGATTACAGGCTGAGCCACCGAGCCCGGCTTCCCTTTTTTCTTTTTTAAAGAAATCCCTGACTAATCTCTTTCTCAGTCTAGGGAAATAATTCTACAGGAAGCATAATTGCATTCTATCACTTTCTCCCTAAAAATGTCAGATGAAGTAGACTGAGTATAAACCTCAAATCCCCTAGCCCCCATCTACCATCACGTGTACCCAGGATGTCATGGGCACAGAGCTACCCCTGCACAGGAGAGAAGACCCCTGCAGGCCAGAAAGCACGTCCCCTAACTGGCCCGAGGCAGACGAACTTACAGGTAATGAGGAGCCAATTTTTTCCATATATTCAATTTCATAGGAGTTTCTGTAATCCAACTCTGAGGGGAAAAAAAAAAAGCAAGGTTAGTGCCAGAAATAAATGGGAAGATTTGGGCCAGGCAGGGTGGGGCCTCAGATAAGGCTCTGGGCTTTCTGAGGGTACCCAGTGACTAGAGAGACTTCTGATACAGTTCAAAGGGGAGGTTCAACTCAGGTGTTTTCAGATAATGCATAAACTTCTTGCACAAAAGGGGTTTCTGTCATAAAGGAATCAGAAAGCGTCTGGAGGATATTCATGCAAGGCATGACCATGAACAGGTCTGCATGTGGATGGATCTGAGCACTCTACACTGACTATTCACATCATTTAAAATAAGTGCACATTTGGTGCTGGTTTTCTCTGTAACTCTCACGTGCAACACGTGGAATAAGGCATCCTGATTACATCTTCCATCTGGACCCATACTTCCTAAGAATTCACCTCCTGCTACCCTCTGAAGCAAGGGAAGAACAATATTGTGCCTTCAGCACTGTTGGTAAGAAAAGCTTTGCAAGTCACCTAGAACATTACCCAACATTCTACCAGTGTCTACAGTGCTGGGCTGAATCAAATGATCAGATGCGAAGACTATGAAAGTCAAATTAGAGGGAGAAATCACCTATTTCAATTTGATTAATGACTTCAGTCTGCAAAGAAAATTCCAGACACTCAGTGGAGACTAGAAAGCCCACTGCCTGCCTCAAGTACCTGGACAATGTTATGGGGAAATTCAGCTCTAACCCGACTGAACTCCCTGTGCACTTACTCTATGTCTCTTCTTACTCTATGGAGCACCTACTCTATGTCTCTTCTTACTCTATGGAGCACCTACTGTATGTCTCTTCTTACTCTATGGAGCACCTACTCTGTGTCTCTTCAACCATAGTGAATACCGTGGTGAATGAGACCAGAACGGACTTCTGTCCTCACAGAAGCCTCAATCTAGAGCTACCAGATGCCTTTTTTCCACTTAAAAAGAAAACCAGAATGGGACAAGTACCCTGCTCGGAAACTAACTGTGAAAAAACATCGGTGGCAATCCATCAAGCTTAATGCCTGGATTTTTTTTTTTTAGATGAAAAAAATATAAATAGTAGTTCTGGTTTGATGCTCCTTTATTTCTGCTTATTGTTGAAGGCATCACTGAAATAATGCCTCTTTAACATGAGCTTTAAAATGAGCTATTTCCTAGAAGACTTTCTTAAAACCTACAAACGTGTGCGGTTGAGGCTGAATAATCTCTAGCACTTAAACACATGGGTAACTTTTTAGGAATCTCTGAATCTCCCTCCCTATATCCTTCTAGTAGGCATGGCCTGCTCTTAGGACTGAAGACAGTCTTGAGGAATAAAGGCCAGAAAGACTTCCTGCATCCTGAATGCTCACATTTGGTTTTGCTGTCACTTAGAAACCACAGAGACTATAGCACAAACAACTCACCACTGGGCTAGAGCTTAGAAAATGTGTTTCTAACTGTCAGGCAAGCCTGTATCCCAGGGTGTGTCCCAACTTAAGATACAGAAGTATTCATTTATAAAGACTTAATGTCCAGCTGGGCTCGGTGGCTCAGCCTGTAATCCTGCGCTTTGGGAGGCTGAGGTGAGTGAATTGTCTGAGCCCATGGGTTTAAGACCCACCTGGGCAACATGAGACCTCATCTCTACAATAAATCAAAAAATTAGCCAGGAAGTAGTGCGCGCGTGTAGTTCCAGCTACTCGGAAGGTCGAGGCGGAAGGATCGCCGGAGCCCAGCAGGTCGAGGCTGCGGTGGCCGGGAGCGTGCCACTGCACTCCAGTCTTAGTGACAGAGTGGGACTCCAACTCAAAAAAAAAAAAAATAAATAAGTAACGAGAAGTATGAGACTTTTGGGTCTCTTCCGGATCGATCACTTTCTAGGTAAAGAACCCCAGGACTATCATTTCATTGTTCTTATAGACTGTTTAAGTTGAGAAGGTCCTAGTGAACCAGCTGCTGCTTTAAGAGAAATCTCTCAGCACACTCCAAAATGGAACAGAGCACCAGGGATATACCAATCAAGCAAGGAAATACCACAGAGATTTTCTAGGGACCTGTGGTCCCAGGTGTGTGCTCAGCTCTGGTTATCAGCTTGCCTCAAGCAAGGTGCCCAACCTAGAAATTCAGCTTGCTTCCCAGCAGCTAAATCTGGTTGAGTTTCAGGTCACCAAGCTCACTCATCTCCTTCTTTCCTACCTGTCAAGATGGGGTCCCTTCCCACTGTCCAGTGTCCCTCATTCCTTCAGAAGCAGCAATGGACCCAGAGAAATGTCTACATCTGTAGGATGCCTGGTTTCAGCAGGTCCACACTCAATCCCAGATGAGTGGTGGATTCCTGGAGAGGCTTCCCTTCAGGATACACCCTGCTTCTTCCAATCACAGCCATTTTGGGTCCTCATTTACAGTTTACAAAAAGGCCTTGACAGGATGTAAGAAAAATAAATACTTCTGCGTTTCATCTTGGGTGATCGCTAATATTTGGAGGAACCATCTTCCTAAAGTTCGTTTTCAAACTCACTCATCTGCTTCAAATTCTAAGCTTCAAGGAGCAGGCATGAGGGGGTGAAGCCATATCCAATTTTAGCCCCATTTTCACACCATGCCACATGCAGCTGGCATTCAAGGAAGGGTAACACCAATATACCAAGTGGCACGGCATCTTTACATCTAAAGGAAAAGGACCTTGCTATAACACGTGGCTGCTCCTAGCTGAAGAGGCTCAAAGTTATTTTTCAGTGGTCCTGTTCATTTTCAAGAGCTACTTCTGGTAATTGCTTCCTACTAGGGCATTTGCACAGTGAGACGGCTTGACAACTGAGTTCATCTGACTAATCGCTAGAGATTTGCTAGGGAACTCGAAGGAGTCCTGTTCCGAAGCCAGAAGGATGCTGCTGAGTCTCAGGTCTTCACTCCCAGATCAGGGCAGCCAACTCACCCAACCTCGGGCCTGCCAGCTTACCTACCAAATGGAGTTCAAAGTGCCTACATTTTGTAGGATAAAATGAAATGCTGTATGATAAAAGTCCTACTACGAGTCATACAAATGTAAAGAATTATGACCAGATATATTACTGCTCATTGCTAACATTTCTGGAAACTTTTAACATAAGTGGCCTTGTTCGGGAAGAAGAAAAGAGCCCTGGGGAAGGGGACAAGGAGCTGCTCTCAGCTTCTTCACTGTGGCCCTTCTAAACGTCTGTAGCATGACTGTGACAAGGTCCACCATTAAAGAAGAACTAGGCTCCTGAGAAGGACACTTTCCTCTCTATTGGGTATGGGAAGGAGGGGCTGACGCAGCTGTGTTAAGGGAGACAAGGAAACCACATGACCCCCAAAGAGTCACCCAGACTTGTAAATCTAAGGACAAATGCCCTCTCAGCAACTCTTTGACACAAACAAGAGGGTCTCAGGGTGTACAGCCCAAAGGTTCCTGGTATTTTCATTCCTAGGGGTCACAAGAGTTCAGTTTTGTCCCACTGCACCCTGTTTTAAAGCATGTTTCCTAAGCAAGCGTGCAAAGAAAATCATTTAAAATTTTCAGTCTTGGTGTTTTGTTTTTTTTTTAATCAGTGTTACCACAGTGAATTGACATTACTACAGCCCAAAAAGGGTATTTTAGTCACCCGGGCCCCTTTCTAAACTAGTTCCACTCATTCAGGCTTTTTGAAATACTAATGACAACTTGAAACTCTTCAACACTGTTCTTTTGGACCAAGTAGGAAAGGATGACTATTTCAGTACCCTCGTTCAATAGATGAGGGCATGAGGCCTGGTCCACGCTCCCACCCACAGCACAGCAACACAGAGCACAGCTGTGAAGTCAGGCAGACTGGGTTCTCCATGGATTAGTCCCACAACACTGCAGGCGTCATGAACAGTGTCAAGCCTGCTTCCTGGTTCTTTTTTTATAAAGATGTGGGGTACAATTCAGGGTTAGGTATACAAACACTGATTATACAGGTACCCTTGTTGATGAGGTATGCCCCATGTTTCCTGGTTCTTAAAGTGGGAAATTGTAGAAATCCACTACATAGAGCTGAGAAGATGAAATAAAAGTCTCTGCACAGCTCACAGTAAATGCTCAACCACTTTATATATACATGATGGCATGTTACTCAGTCGTAAAAAAGAACAAAATCATGAACTTAACAGCAACCTGGATGAACTTAAGAGTCTCTAATACTGAGTGATCTTTCACAGAAACAAAGAACTGAGTATCACATGTTCTCACCCATAAGTGGACATTGAACAATTATCATAATACTATAAGAAAAGGATTGGCAGTAGTGGGAAACTGCTGGGAAGGGAGCGGGGAAGCGGGATTGGCAGTAGCAGGAATCTACCTGGGGAAGGGGAGGCTATACCTCATCAACAACGGTACTTGCATAATGAACATTTGTATACCTAACCCTGAATTGCACCCCACATCTTTAAAATTAAAAAAAAATTTTTTAATTAAAAAAAAAGCTCAACCACTGACAGTTCCTGCTTTATTATTGTTAACCATAGAATTACTATTATCGTGAATATGTGTTCAAATAGTCATTACTATCTCTAACCCAACACTTCCTTTTCCTGTGGTTGGTGACCTCAATGTGAGAAAGTCTCAGATCACAGCCATGGACCTGCACAGATGCACTGTGATGAGCACAACAGCACCCCCAGGTAGTGTCCGGAACTACAACTGTTGTCGCCACATTGATGATGGATTTTTGACTGTCTGCCAGCTAAAATTTTAGTCATGACTTCTCAGATCTTCATAATTGTTTTCTTAGGAGGCAGATTTAACAGTTTTGTTCCAAACTTACACATTTACTTACTTGTTGAATTCTTTACAGAAACAAACAATTGTCAACTATGTCACTCACCTAATGAGTTGTCTGTTTTGGTACAATGTAAAAGATGAACAAACAGATATTACCATTGAATAAGGTACATATTCGTTTCAAAAGTACTATTAGGGTTTTATATATTTTTTTTTTTTTTGAGTTGGTGTCTTACTCTGTCACCCAGGCTGGAGGGCAGTGGCATAATCATAGCTCACTGCAGCCTCAACCTCCAGGTCTCAGGCAATCCTTCTTCCTCAGCCTCCTGAGTAGCTGGGACTATAGGCGTGTGCCACCATGCCCAGTTTTTTGCTTGTTTGTTTGTTTTTGGTAGAGACAAGGTCTCACTATGTTGCCCAGGTTGATCTTGAACTCCTGGGCTCAAAGCAACCCCCTCACCTCAGCCTCCCAAAGTGCTGGGATTACAGGCTTGAGCCACCACGCCTGGTCAGAATTTTATTTTCTAAGGAAAAAAAAAGCATGGATTTGATTCCTGATGATAAAACTAAACACATACACACATCAAAACCATACGCCTTTTGATCATGTGCCAAGTCCAGGCCGGTTTCTAAATGTTTCTCTGACATTTAGAAATTTCTTACTGAGCTCAACAGACACGAACCAGCAGGAAACCATAGGTGCTATCAAATGGCCAAGTCCAATGCATGGGCTCAAATGTTCCTTGTTGCTTCTAGGATGTAAAACCTCTTCCCCCTCTACCTCCACTCCTGAAGTAGGTGATGCCTGTTGCAAAGATCAAATCATCTGAGTTGCCCCTGAGCTATTACCTGCTTGTATTTACCTTTATTCCACCAACCTGTTTTTAGCCCCTACAAAGTTCAGCATGCTGTGGGAACAAAGATGAACTAGACAAAGTTCTTGACTTTGAAAAGCACACAATCCATTCGGGAAGCACACAATAAAATCAGGAAGCAAGAAATGCACACATATCATCATTACGGTGTTATGTGCCCCTAGTTGGGCCTGACCAAGCATTGAAGGCAAGCAGAGCTGGAGTGGATGCCTAGGGAAAGGCTGACAGGGCAGCACTAAGGCAAGGGTTGGAAACAGGGAGTGAGGTGGGGGGGGGAAGAGTGGAAGGACATTCCAGCATGTGGGCCAGCAGCAGCACTGCAGAGGTAGCTGAGTGAGGGATGTCCAGGGAGAAGACTCAAGTCTTAGGTGTGGGTGCAGAGGAAGAAAAAGACTGAAGGGAAGCTGAAGTCAGATCTTAGGGCCTCTGTCAGATTAAAGCCAGATGGTCACTTTCAGGCCTCTCAACTCCCAAAGCCAGAGGGCCAACCTGACAGCAAATCAAAAGGCTCTATTTTGCAGAAAATAAAATGCTACAGCCAGGCTCGGTGGCTCAGCCTGTAATCCCGCGCTTTTGGGAGGCTGAGGTGAGTGAATTGCCTGAGCCCGCGGGTTCGAAGACCCGCCTGGGCAGCGAGACTTCATCTCTACAATAAATCAAAAAATCAGCCGGGCGTGGTGGTGCATGCCTGTAATTCCGGCTACTCGGAAGGCGGAGGCGGAAGGATCGCCGGAGCCCAGCAGGCCGAGGCTGCGCTGGCAGGGAGCGGCCACTGCACTCCAGTCTGGGCGACAGAGTGAGACTCCAACTCAAAAAAAATAAAAAATGCTACAAAGTATATGAAATTTGGATCATCTTTTCATTGTCAAACTTAGGAAGGCAGCTTTGTGTAGTAAGAAGCAAAATATCCAAAATTCTGAAAAATATGAAGTGGATCTCACCATAAATGTGGATTGGCACCATTCTGAGATCTCGTGGGCACAGAGTAAACCACGGAAAGAGGCCTGACCCCAGAAGAGCCACCACAGGAAGCGTTTGAGTTTCTAAGTTACAACTAAAAACTACCTGAGTTGCGTGCAGTAGCTCACGCCTGTAATACCAACACTTTGGGAGGTGGAGGCAAGAGGACTGCCTGAGCCCAGGGGGTTGAGACCAACCTGGACAACTTGGCAAGACCTCATCTCTACAACAAATCAAAAAATTAGATGATCGTGGTGGTGTGCACCTGTAGTTCAAGCTCTTTAGAAGGGTGAAGTGGAAGGATTGCCTGAGTCCAGCAGGTCAAAGCTGCAGTGGCCGTGATTATGCCACTGCACTCTAGGCTGGGTGACGGTGAGACTCTGACTCAAAAAAAAAAAAAAACAAAAACACCCAACAACAACAAAACACCTGCACATCCATTACACACTGCCCTGCATAGATGCAGAGGGAGCCCATTTAAAGGAGACCTTAGTCCCTTATTAGCAGCAAAGAAATGGAGACAAAGCCGGGCTCGGCGGCTCAGCCTATAATCTCGTGCTTTTGGGAGGCTGAGGTGAGTGGACTGCCTGAGCCTGCGGGTTCAAGACCTGCCTGGGCAGGCGAGACCTCATCTCTACAATAAATAAAAAAA